AACTTGGAGGCTGAAACTCTCCCATCAAGCTATGAAGGTAGGGAACAGGCAGCTGAGATGATTTGTTATGTTCACTTCTTTGCCATAGGTAACAGTAATAATACATATAATACAGAAATATTTAAGAAAGGAATAGCTCATTGATAATTCTGGAAAACAACAGCTGATCCTGCTAGACTGTGTTTTGCCTCTGTATTAGATGTGTCTGCTTTTGGAGCATCTAGCCAAAAACAGGCACAGCAAGGAGACGGCAATCTGGTGTAGGGGGAGATGGGCAGGGAAGAATTATTCTGTCTTAAGGCAACTGAAAGTCTGACAACTGGTGGAAAAGTTTTAGGAGAGGAGAAAATATCTGACACAGATTCTGCCTCAGATCAGGCTCATTGTTTTCTGTGATCTCAGTATTTGATGTTTTTTACAAATATAGTTTAGTATATTCATTATACATCACCATATCCCCTCTTCTCTCTGGCTTTGCATAACTCTGCAGCCTTGGGCATGTCAGGAGGATCCAGGATATGAAGCAGCTGGGACACGCATGGAAGAGCTATGTGATGGTCCTCCTGTTTACCCATCATTTACTCACAGAACAGCCCGTAGTGGGAACAGCTAATTAAGTTGGAAGGAAAAGTTTTGCTTTCTTGGTTTTTCTCTACAATATCCTGGGGTAAACTTGGCCCTTTGATCTGTGTAATGCTCGTGGTAGGCATGCTGTACTTAGACATAATGCAGAAAAACAAGCCTGTGTCCTAATGGCCCTGGGCTTGTGCAAAGGAAAGAGAAGTTTGCAGAGGCACAGCCAGAAAGTTCCAGCCCAAGACCCAGATCTAGACTGAATTTTTTTCACATGCTGTGTACATAATTCCCTTTGACTCCTTAAAAAATCCTAGCCTTGCATCATTTAATGCCCTGTCCTTTTACAAATGGCATGGCTCAAACCTCAGCTTGAAATAATTTAGAGCAGCAGCCCAGGTCAGGGCATCTGGAGCTGCTTTTCATTTCCTTTCTGTGCTCCCCTTGATGAGGGACACTGCTGTGTTAATGGGGTTTTGTTCTTTCCTTTCAGGCTTCTCTTTCCCCAGTTGATGTCACGATTAGTGACATCAAAGTCACCTCTTAGTGAACCCTGGTGATGACATGACTGGAGGAGGACCCTTAGAGGCAGGAGATTAAGCAACAAGCTAGCACTACTGGAAGAACAAAAGTCTGGAAGAACAAAGCTCTCATTTTCATTCATATATACACAATCAAAAATGAGTGAAGAGAAGGAGGGATGGGAATTAGGTGATGCATTAGTAAAATTATCATTCAAAGGTTCTTTGCTCGAAGTTTTGCAAGAGGAATCAGTGGTTCTTTAATCTCCCACCTTGGGTATTGTTGATGCCATGTTATATTCTGGGCATGTTGAAATGTAGCACGGTGTAAAGAGACATGATTTGTTGGATAAGGCTTTATGTAGCACAAAAAGGCTCCTCTGCTTTCCCTTTTTATTATTTACATTCCCAGAGAAAGTTATGTGTCATGTGGGCTCTGCAGAGATAAATGGCCAACCTGAGCCAGAGCAGCTTCCTCTGAACCTGGAAAGGAGCAGCCTAGGTGTTGGCCTGAGGATTCTGAAGACTTAAACTCAGTTCTGGTCCTGGGAAGAGATATTTGAGAGAACCTGAAGTTGTGAGTCCTTAAGAGAGGTTTAGCAGGGAAATTGTACCGTGGAGCTCTGAAAGAGCAGAGAGAGAAGGGCAGCTGGGCATCAGTATAAACCAGTAAGCTGGTCTGGTCAGGACTGTAGTTATGGGTGTGCTGCAAGTCAGGAATGAAGGGAATCAGCTGAACTGAGTGCAGAGACCTCCCCTGGTGCTGCCAGCTGAGTGTGGAGCATGGCTGGCCAGTGCTCTGTCCGCTCCTTTCATGAGCTCTGTTAATAGCAGTCAGCACAGTAATTCCAAAGTAACTGGATATGCTGTAAACCATAGGTTTGGGCCACTCCTGCTGTTTTCCAGGTGTTTCAAGAGTAGCAAGTTTTATGGCCATGTCATCAGCTCTTTGCTCTATTTGCTGCTTCATTAGTTTTCATGCTGGGAGCACTCTGGGGGAGCAGCATTTGGAGGTGGGATTTGGCTCCTGTGAAGGGAACAGACAGTTAACAAGCTCTGTGGTTTCCTTGCTTGTACAAACCTCCTTTATGACTCTCCTGTGGGTGGGATGTCAGAGCTGAGGATGTGCTTGGCAGGAGGGGATCTTTCAAAGGAAACTTTCAGTGGAATAGAGAGATTTCCTTGGCTGGACCTGCAGGCAATGGGGCCCTTCTGTTGTAACCCACAGGAGATCAGTGTAGGTGATCTCTGGTCTCTTTTCCTTCCCTCATGTTTCCCTGGGTTTAAGATCTGGAGACTCCAGGAGCTTTTCCATCACTGAGTCGGAGTAAGGCAAGCTTGACTTTGATGAGCCTTGAGAGAAACGGCATAAGTCAGATCTCTGCCAGCCCCATGCTATTGCAATTAGCAGAATTATGGCAAATTGTCCTGGGTTTCTGACATGAGAAAGCTGTTGCTTAGAGGTTTTTTTTCTTTTTCTTATTTTGACTGAGGAATGAACCTCTCATTTAAGAAACTGAACTCTGTATCAATATCCAGAAGGGGTAAGAGTTGTTAAAGCTGTATTCATCAATTGCAAAAGAGAGCACATTTTATTTTGCTCTGTGCTATTTACAGCTGTTGTCCATTACAAGTCCTCAGGAGCCTCATTCCCAGCTATAACTGCACAGCCCCATAAGTTTAGCTCAGCAATGAGCCTGCAAAACAGCACTAAATCATGGTGATGGGAGAAGGGAGAAAATGTTTGGAAATGGCAAAATGCAGCTGATGTCTTTGTGAAATCTGGCTTTTGTTTGTTGCTATTATAAGGCATTACTAAAGTAGATAGTAATGTACAATTAACTGGAAAAGAGGAGAAATAGTGTCTTCTAATTTTGGGGGAAAAATCAGAATGGCTGGTCCTGCAGGAGCTGAAGGAGTCTTTGACAATCCATAAGTGCCTAAGTTCATGTTGATGAAAATGTACCCAACCCCCCCAGTATGGTGAGGTGTGAGAATGACAAAAATCTAATGTGTGGCTATTGAGAAACAGAGCCCCAGTTGCTTTACTGGACCAGAACATGATTGCTCTGTATGAGCTCTTTGAGCTGGGAGTGCAGTTCACTCTTCTAGTGCCCACCAACGGCTCAAGAGGGAAGTGTGGATGTGGGGTTATTTCCAAATCTGAGTGTGTCTCTGTATGATGTAAATAAATTGTGCTGTGAAGTATATATTGTGCAGAATATATAGCTAAGGAGACAAAATAATGCTTATTCCTTGTTTGAATGTGAAAAGAGAAAATTCACCTGTATTCCCAGCTGTGACGCAGCTTGGTCAGACAAACAGCTAAACATTCCTTTATTACCCTCTGTATTTTTGAGGATGATGTTCTACCTCCCTGTTTTACTATGATGGATTAATGGTTTGTAACACATTTGGAAACTGAAGGATGGCTTTGGGAGCTAAGGACAGAGGCATGTAAGATGCTAATTCAGCATTTGTTTACAAGGGCGCTCAGCTGATGCCTTCGGTTCTGCATTCTGTCCTGTTGCCTCTCCCAGTCCATGAAGGGAACAGAGCCTGAGCTCTGACTGTCCTGATGGAGCAGGGCAAACCTGCCCTGGCATGGCTGTGATGCCCTGAGAGATAAAGCTTTCCACTGAATAAATCTGTCAGCTTGGCTTGTGATAGTGAATGCTCACAAAAGGATCGTTTGAAGACAGATAATTGCTTTCTCCTTTCCTTTTATTTTCTGTGCCTGGCAGGTGTCTCCTTCTGTCTTCTCCTGTTTCCTTGGCCCATCCCTGAAGTGTGCTCAGCACAGATGGGATCTTCAAAGAGTCTGCTGTCAAACTTGGTCTTTTCTAAGCATATGTATGCTGAGAGTTTTTGGAGGCTTGTACCCAGACCAAATGTGTTTAGTGGCTTTTTCACAGGAACAGCAAATAACAGATCTGATAACAAGGAAACTTTTGCTGTTAAGTTGCAAGTCTGTTTTGAAATAGCTTCAGTAGGGATTATCAATGAACTGTTCAGTAAAAATTTAATTTACTATTTGGGGTTTTTTTAAAAAACAACCCCTCAAATCCCCTCCCCTACCTCAAACTGCCACAGCTTATGTTTCCTATGCATGAAAGTAGTGCCACAAACAGATGAATTCTTCTAGTTGCAACTTCTGAAAATCAGTCTTTCTAATCTGAGTGAGCATTTATTTTATATAAAACTGGAGAAGTCTTTCCACCAAAAGCAACAGCTTGCCTTAGCTATGTGCATTGTTATTTCTAGCTCTTGTTGTATTGTTATGAAATAATGGTTAGGTTTGTGTACTCAACCTCTGCAGCTCTGGTGAACATATTAGTGCATTTTCTTTAATTATACCAGTTTAGTTCAATTAATTATGATTTTGACCTTACAACACAAATTATTTCCAGAGATCAGGCTGCTTGCATGTCCTTGGAGCCCCTTATGGGTGGGCAAATCTGCTTAGATATTTAGAAAGTTCTGAATTGTTAATGGTGAAATACTGAAAGTGGAGCAGAACTTTAGACCATTAAATAACTTCTTGCTGCCTTTTCAACCTTAATGAAATTTGAGGGGATCAAATTTCAATAATTGCTAGAAAATATGGTAAAGCTTTTTGGAGGCAGTAACCTGCACCTGCAGAATGCTTTCTAATGGTACATGTAAATATCTAGAAGTTATCACAGAATAAAAAGGGAGATTAGCTCTGTGCTGGTTCTGAGGACCAAATCTGTGGTCAGTTTATAAATAGCACCTTGAGAAAATATCTGGAATGTCTAGGGATGTAATTTCCTTAGAATTCATTTTGGATTGTTATATAAATTCAAAATAAAATCCACTTGCAAATATCTTGTTCAAAGAAAAGCCCTGTTTATTTTTGGGGTGTTTTTGCTTTGCTTTTTGCAGGCAGCCGCCCTTACGTGTTCCTCACAGCCCGTGTTCACCCTGGGGAGAGCAACGCCAGCTGGGTGATGAAGGGCACCCTGGAGTTCCTGGTGAGCAGCGATCCCATTGCTGAGCTCCTCAGGAAGTGTTTCATCTTCAAGATTGTGCCCATGCTCAATCCTGATGGAGTCATCAATGGCAAGTGAGTTGTGACATGTGATTACCCTGGGGTTTGTCTGTGCACCCAGCAGATCTCATCTTCAATGTTTGTGCTGAGAATTCACTTTTTCCCTGTGTTTTATTCATCCTGTTATCAGTCCTGTATGGAAAATGTGACTCTGAGACATGGCCTGGTGTGCTGTCCTGCATTTGGGAGGTGCATGTGGCTCTGTGCTGTCTGTGGTCAGAATATCTCTCAGTTCCCTGGAAGGAGTGTTAGTGGTGCTGGAGAAACAGGACCTTTACTGACAAATGGAGCAGCAGGGCAGAACACAGCTGCAAAGCAGATATGCTTGGGAAAAACTGGCTGTAATTAATGCTTTGTATAACCTGGTGGGGGAGGATGAATAAGGATTCCTTAAATTTTCACAGAAATATTTCTGTATAGTGAACCTTCCTCCTTCTCCCACCTTCTTTTCAATCTTCCTTCCCGCATGTTTCCTAAGAGATGCTGAATCTGATCTTGGAAAAATATTGATTCCTTTTTGCATTCTTTTCCTTATACCCTCCCTATCCACCCACACTAACTTCCCTCTCCCTGTACATGACTGGAAAAGGTACAACTCTGCTCCTAATATTTTGAGCTGAAATAAATACTGTTGTGTGAAACCTTGAAGAGGGCACTAAGCTAAGGTAGGCTTGTCTTTCCTGGAAAACAAATCTCCTCCTCTCTGTAGACAGTGGAATTTGTTAACTTTGGGTGTTTGTGGAGTGGCAGTGAGTTAATAATTGTTGGTCCTGCCCAATGCAAGGGTAGGACATGATGACCACATCCCACCAGTGGCTGCTGTCTTGACCTGCTGATGGTGATGGGGTCTTGTAGGGTTTGCAACAACTGTCCCCCCTGGCTTATTGCAGAGGAGCACACAAATATCAAAGCAGAAAGATGGGCTTAAATAAGCACTGGAACACAACAAAGTGTAGAGGAATAACTTTTCTTAAGCTACAGTCCCACACCTGCTTTGGGGTTGGTGTGTGATGATTGGGTGTTTCAGGAACAGAAAAGCAAATCCTGAGCAACAACTGCATTGAGCTGGATTTAAAACTCAAATGAGTTTGGGGTGAGAGGCTCACCAGGGAGCACCTTGGGCTTTTCTGACAGTCTCTAGGCTGTGCAGTCACAGATTTTGGATTGATGTGCTCCCCAGGGCCCAGATGTGCCAGAAGTCTGAGAGCACTGTTCAGAATAGCTGGGTACTTCCCCAGGGTATTTGAGGCCTCTGTCGGCACCACATGCTTTCTTGATCCTCATAGACAGAAGGAACAAGAAAAACAATTGTGGCTTCTCCCCTTTATTTTTTTCTTCTCATTACACTTAGTTAAACATCAGATGCAGGACTGGAGGGAATGGCTGACCTTTTCCTCCAGCTGTCAGGAACCAGCACAGCAGAGAAGAGACCTTCAGGAGGGAGAATGTGGCTCTTGGTGACACCTGAATGAAGGGTATTTGTCACACAGGAGATGTGTTTTGTGTTCCATGGTGCAGATGAGCTTGAACAATAGTTAAATCTGGTGATGAAGAAGAGTTTAGTAAACCTTCAGTGGATAGGACCAGGAGAACAGGAACTTGGCCACGTCTCCTTTATTGATCATGAAGCCTGGGGAGGGGAATAAAAAATTTCTTTATGCTTTAAATTAAATACATCTGTCTTGTGAATCCTCCTGTGGATTCTCTCTCCTCCCATATTCTTCTTGTTTCTTTATATGTATGCTTTATAGTAGCCATGGTTCCTCCTATATTAAATGAAATATTTTTGTTCAGGGGCTCAGGTTTACTGGTAGCACGTAAGAGTGAATGTGGGTTTGTAAGAGCTTGTGGGAGTGTGTAAGAGTTGGCATCATCTTCCTTTTCCTTTATCTGATTTTAATGTTTCCTTTTTATTTTCATCTGCTTCCCTTTTCTCACTCTTCCCTCCTGTTGAATCAAGGAGACTTTTCACTAAAAAGAACTTGTTGAATTTTGTAAAATAACGAACCAGTGAGTGGAGATGGGAGCTGGGGAGTCTTTTTTAGATGAAGGAAATTTATTGGAAGCCACATCATTTCTTCAAAGGCGTGGGGTAACCATAGTAGCAGCTAGGTAAGGAAATCCTGGTTTTTCTTTTGGAATGTAGCCATGGACTATTCTTTATCTGTTTTAAAAACATCTTGTTTTCTCTGGCACCTGCCCTCCCCCAGCACAGGCTTTGCATCTCCAGGGTAAGGCAGGTGAGGTGCTGGGATTTCTGTCTCTCCCTTGATGCTCCCTCCCCTTTAATTTACTCTGTTAGTTCCTTGTTTACTCAGGGGCTTTGTTCATTACCTCCTCAAGCCTATCAGAGAAAAGCTTCAGTTATTTGATAATTACTGACATAAAGAGAGAGAAATGCCCACTAAAATCCCTCCTAGAACAGCGTTCCTCTACACAGTCTCAAAAAGAGCAAAGGGAAAAGAAGGAGTGTGCTCCCACTTAACCTTTGGAGCCTTCTGTTTGGAAGGACGGTCTTAGGAGGGGGAGAAGCACCACATTTGTCTCTATACCCAAAGACGCTATTTGTATAAATAACCTTTTTCTCCCTTGTATTAATGCTTACTCTGCTGAATGAACACATTGTGTTCTCTGGGCAGTAAGAGGCAGAAAGGATCAGGCATAGGGAAAAAAGCTAATGGCTGGTCTGAGGAGTCAGTTTATGATGCAGAACTGCATCCTTAAGGACTCAATCTCGAGGTGATGTCACACAAAGCTGTACGAGTGCAGACATCCCTCCTTCTCTTTATTGCTTCTCTGTGGTCAGAGGGTTGAAGGAGAAGTTTAGTTCTAAATTGGTGCCATGCACTCTGCAAACACACTCCAAAGGCTCTCCCCAGACTGGTTAATCTATGATGTGTTTGTTTCTCAAAGGACAGAGCAGAGATGTGAGAAGGCTGGGAAAAGAGTGGTTTTGAATTAATGGAGTTTCTCTCTAGGAGAGAGCAGCTACAGGAGTTGTGTGCTGCTCTTTGGCAGATGCTCTATGAGTCTGTCCTCATGTTTTCTTCAGAAGTTCCGCACCCAAATTGTCACCAGCTTGCCAAAAGTAGTTGGGTAGGCATATGTGGAAGGCAAAGCATTCCTGGAAAAAAGAGCATTTTTAAATTGTGAAAGACTTAACCCTCATATACCCTGGCTGTGCTCTGAGATGCACATTGTGAGGAGGCAGGAGCAGTGCACTGGTGCTTTCCTTAAGACCTCAGAGGTAACAAAGATGCAAATTCTGTGACTATCTGTACTGGGATACTTGGTGGCTCTGGGACGTGCACATGAAGTGTGGGCTAATTTTCCTCAAGTGGAGCAGAAATTTTTACAGCTCTTTGCTGCTTTGGTGCCTCAGGTGTTGCTTCTGTTGCCTTTCACTGAGAGGGCAGTGATGGATTTGAGAGCTTAGGGTACCAAATGTGGCTACTGCCTGCACAGCACGAGATAAAATATGAGCTGCAGTATTTCTTAGCTCTCACTTCTGTGAATTGTTCCTTGGTGGAACGACCAGAAATGGTGTCTAGCCCTGCACCACACACTCGTCTGAGCTTCCTCTCTGCTGTGGGAGGTGCCCCAGTTTCATCCAAGGCCCTTATTGTGCTGTGCTGATGTGACAGCCCATCCTTGGCTCTCCTTCTGTGATAAACATCCCCCTGCAGACAGCTGCACCCCAGGACTCTCCCTTCTGACAGCACTTCCAGTGCAGGGTTGTTTATTCCTTCCTTTATCAGCCAGGGCTGCTGGGCCCCCTGAGTTATTAGCTCTATTCACTCATTGTCAGTGTTTCCTCCTTCGTAAATATGCCCCCATATGTCTCTGCTCCCAAGGAATATGCTTTCTTTTCTATTTACTGCTTTTCCCAGGCCCCCACCTCCTCATTGCTCTCTCCACCCAACGGCCCAATAACAGCCAAGGAGATAAATAAGCTCCATAACTCTTCCCAGCTATCATTTTTTGTTGTTGTTGTTGCCCTGCATGGTAATATATATAATAACAAGGAAACAAATCTTATTACTAAAGTAATTACAATAAATAAAAAGCTGAGAGGGGAGATGAAGGAAGGGTCTGTCAGGGGAGTGATTGCAGTAGGATTTTTTAAAATTTAATTTACTTGAGATGTTCTCTGCCACTTTGCTGATACCCTGCTGAGGGGGGCTGTGACTAATTAGCAGCCAGCTGTTGTTTTAACACCCTCACCTAATTTATAGTGTGCCTGAGCCTCTAAAACAAGAGCCTGTGTGTGATATCATTGTTTGTGGGACTCAGCACCAGCCTTGTGTCAGTAGTTGGCTTTATTGCTTGGTGCTTTTGTTTCTCAGGAGCTGTATAACTGAAATTTTGGGTGCTTTGCTGCAATTCCTTTTATCTTCAGCATATCTTGTGTGCTTTCAGGAGTTTGACCCAGAGAGTGAACACAATTTGCTGCTTATAACTGCTTGTCCCAGTGTCCACCCTAATAACTAAGCATCACAACTAAAAAGTGTGGTGTGGACAGGACCTAGGGTTTCTTTAAATTCTGGGCCCTCATTCTCCTGTTGGCAGGTAAATTTTAGTTTAAATTCTGAGGTCTCATTCTCCTGTTGGCAGGTTTCTCATGGAGGTACCATATTGTTCTTGCTAATAGAATGGAGATTGCAATATCATCCGTCTTCTAAATGGTCGTGAAATCTAATTAGTTAATGGCCATATTAAAACCTGGAAGGATCCAAGGCATTGTTCCATGTTTCATCAGTCTCCCAGCTGCCAATTGCCAGAGCATGTGCAGTCTTTGTGAGCTCTGACACGCTAAAGGTGCCCAATGAGTTGTGTGTGTGTCACTGTGCTCTTCCCTGTATAATTTATGCTGGCCATGCAAGGTCACCTGAAAATTTTACTACAGAAATCACTGGATGTGGGCTCAGAGATGTTACAGCCTTGGACTACTAACATTTCAACTTCTAGCCTTGGGAATTATTTCATTTTGGATAGGTTCTACCTTGCATTTTCAA